TTGTTTATTATTATTATTATCAAGACAATAAAATAAAAACAAAAAAACTTATAGATTATTCTTTTAATAAGTATGATTTTATAGGACAATTGAAAATGAAATATTTCTATTTATTATATAATAACAATTGTCTTCATTGAAAAAAAAAAATCATAATAAAGACAAAAAAAAACATAAGGACCTACTATACATCGAATATTCTCCTTGATAAACTTGACATTGTCTCCTTCTTCAATACTTGTCTTTTCAATGGCATTGTACGTGTACAAGGTTTTTTCGATCGCTCTTTAATAATATGTAAAGGCATCATATTTTTGTTCTTGGTCTCTTTTTTTTTTTTTTTTTCTTATCCAAGGTCTAAATAGCAACATTACACGATACGATTAACAACAACAACAACAACAATAATAATAATAATTCTCTTATTTCTATATTTAGTCGAGTATTCATATCGAAAGATAAACTCTAAACTAAAATGACCCATACGATTTGTTCGTACTGGAAAACACGAACTGACAATAACAACGGATGTTTTTGAAGGTTTTGTCATCAACAAGTAATGGAGTTATGTAAACGCGTTCGTGTACGCGATTGCAAAGCAAAAACACGACTTCACCTTCACCGAGAAGAGAGAACGGAAAACAAGAACAAACGGAAAACAAAAAATGACATGAAGGCTTGCCTCACAGAAAGAGGGAAAGAGAGAGAGAGAGAAACAGACAGAGAAAGAGAAGACGAGAATTTGTTGCTTTTACTTAGTTCTCAACATGCAACCTATTTCGTCTAAGGTCATTTATTTATTAGAATATTTTGGACAATGTTTGAATTATTTATACGATATTTATGTATGATTGTACGAAAAATGACGTCAACTGCTGTATACGATCATTTGAAGTGACTTTTTCTTTTATCGTAAATGTGAGCAAGGTATAAATGATCATTTTATATACATGATGGTAAGATATAATATTAAATTATAAAAGCTTATCAAATATTAGTACAAGTGTGTTATATGAACTCTTCTTAAGTGATGATCATATTGTTTCAAGGTTATCATCATATTTCGATACAATTTATATGATAGTATGGACCTTTTATTTAGCACTTCACATCATCTTTGTTTCTACTATTCAAGGTCATCAAAGCTTATTTTTTACATGTCCTTCTTTCTTCCTCTTCTATTCTCTCTTTCTTTCTCAGTCCTATTCCTTCATGGGCATCAACCGAACGAGAAAGAAAGCAAGAGAACCTTATTTTCTGATTCTCTTCTTTCGCCTTCAGGCTGTTCTCTGCTGATGCTGTTGTTGTTGCTGCTTATGGCGTGTGTTTGTATATAACGAAGAAAAAGATGGATAGAGAGAACGAGACAAATAGGCATAAACTATAGTTGTTAATAGTTTTTGTGACTTTCAGATGCATAACTCAATGACAATATTGCAGCAATTTGAAGAATACAATCTATGTTGACCAAATATCAACTACTTTAATTATATTACAGTATTATTTATTATCTTTTTACTGTAAATCAATCTCTAATTTTATAAATACGAATATATATATATATATATATATATATATATTTATACTCATTTGATAATAAATCGATGAATTTAACAAATGATGCTGGTGAAAATGACAATGAAAAAAATTCTTCAAGTGATGAAGATGAAGATAATGAAAATACATATACAACTAATTCACCATCAATATTAGTAGAAAAATTTTTTTCTTCTAATAAAAATAATGAAGAATTAGATAATAGTGATGATGATAATGATGATGATGATGATGATGGAAGTGATATTGAAAATCATTATACATCTGATAAATTTTTACCAAGACAAAATCATTTATGTACAATATTACGACAATCAAATCGTCTTACTGAATTAAAATTAAATCTACTTCATAATCATTTATTATTAAGACATTCTATATCTGATAGTGATATGTCGAAACAAAATGATCAACAACGAAATAATATTTATCTTTCATCAATTCGTTTACGTCGTCTTTATTTACCATCATCATTTATTTATGAATTACAAACACAAATAACCAATTGGTTACAATCAAGTACATGTTTAATTGATTCAATATCAACATCAATATATCATCGACGATGTTGGTCACAATTATTATTAACATATTTTATTGAACAACGTTTTGTTAATTTACAATTTCTTCTTTGTACACATTCATTATCATTAACAACAATTGATCATGATTTATATTCAATACATCAACATACATGTATACCAGAAGAAGATGCATATAAATTATGTTCAATATTACAAAAAGGTTCACGATTTAATATTGATTCAAATATATTTGATCATATACGTCGTATTATTGTTATTAAAAGTATGAAAGAAGGTAAATATTTAAAAAATAATTATTTATTAGAAAAATTTTTCTTATCTTTTAGTATTTAATGATAATATAAATTTACAACAACTTTATATTAAACAATTAACAAGTCTTAAACAATATTTAATTCATCAACAATCATCTGTATTGAATATGAATAATAATTTAACAATAAGTGTAGCATCAATTTATTCAAAACTTCTACTTTTTCTTTCGAGTCTTTATTCAATCAGAGCTGAAACGATGCAAATACTTTTTTGTCAACATCTTCTACACAATCCGATGTATTCCTATCTTGTTAATTCATGATTTTATTATTTACATTGTTTTCTTCTGTTTTTTTTTTTTTCTTTTTCTTTTTCTATTGAAATTGTCTGTGTGCTTATTGTGTATCCCGGTTGATGATTAATATATTAAAGTATATGTTGTCATCTCGGTCAGATCATGTAAATGTATCTATATGTATGTGTGTGTGTGTTTGTATATCAAAACGGTGAATCAATTTAGAAACAGAAAACAAAAAAAAGTTTTTATTTTTATTGATGATCGGGATAATTATTTTTATATAATTTTTCCATGTAAGAAAACAGAAACATTCTATCACAATATAATTAAAGTTCTAGAAGTTGTTTGTCTACTATATATTGTAACAATGAAAAAAAATCATCTTGAGTATTTGATGAAAAGCCTTCAGAAAAATAGATTAAATAATTAGAAAGATCATTTAATTTCTACTAGAGTTTTTATTATTATTATAGTCAATATATATACTAGATGAAGATTGAATTGGAAAAATACATAACTCTTGATAGGAATTGATGAAAATCTCATCAACTATCAAGGATACATGATTAAATTATAAAGATATGATAAAAATGAACAAGAACTATATTTATATAGAATGATTAATATTAGAAAGATTATTTAATAAATGTTCTTTCATATTTTTAATAAATTATAATAATAAATTTCAATTGTATTTTATTCATCGATACATTAGAATAAGTATTGATCTTATATTCTTTTTTTTTTCTTTTCATATAATACTAGTTAGTAAATATTTTATATTCAATGTCATACATATCGATTTAATCAAACGATGGAAAAATGTTTTTTAGAGAAATATGAAACTTTCTCTCAGACTATATGGTAAACTTATAAATCAATCAGAGTTTTTTTTTTGTTGAACAGATCCCTATCAATGCTATAAACGTCATCAGCATACAGCTTTTTGTTTTTTCTCGCATAAATTAGAATATGATCTTGTTTCATAATAAAGTTACAAGAATTTCTTGATAAGTATATAGTTGTTTTGCTTTTTAATTCTTCTCAGATTCGTTCTGCATATAAATATATATTTGTCTAACAAAATATAACATTAATGAAAAACACTTTTGCATGACATATTAAACTTCTAACTATTGATATTTGTAAATTTTTTATTAATAAATAATTCGATTAGAATTGATATTAGATAAGTGTTTGGTATTTTTTTTTTCAAGAATAATTATGTTAATATTATTGATATTTTAAAAAGAATTTCATGGTTGAAAGAATTATTGAATATTCAATTGACCTTAAGTTAACAAGAGCATAATTAATAATTAAATAGTTGTTGTTGCATTGAAATATATGACTGATGAAATCAATCGATCAAAGAAATATATTATACTTCATGATACTCCCGTAACACGATAAGAGCTAGAATGATCTTATTGATCTCGAAAAAATTTTTTCAATTTCTCATCTAATGAACATTTGAGTTCTGTGCTTGAAAAAGAATCTTGAATTCTTTCTATTGGTAACAATCAAAATTATGAAATTTAGCATTTGAAAATATTAGTCATAGAACAAAAAAAAAAAAAATGGAAAAATCAAATGTTTTATAATAAATTAGTTTTTTTTTTACTCCAGAAGAAAAGTCAATATGTAACGAATATTGAATTGTCCATGATTAGTACTGATTAATTATATTCCATTTTGTTTCTTTTTTTTGTTTTCTTTTATAAAATATAAAAATTTAAATTTCAAATATCAAAACGAAAAAAAAAAACTATCAAATATAAATGCATTGTTTAGTATTCAAGACACGTTAATAACATAAATAAAAGCATTGTAAATGAGTAAATTAATATTTCAATGATATAAGCTTGAATGCATTCTTATTTCTAAAAAGATTCTTATTTTTCGATTACATACGGTTCAATTTCTATTATCTTCGAAAATCTATTGTAAAATAAATAATTAATATATATGCGTATCATATTCTTTCTATTGTCAAAACAAACAAACAAAAGAAGAAGAAGAAAAACAAAAAACTCATTCAAGTAAAACAAATTTGATGTGATATATATTATCCTTTACTTGGATAATTAATAATATCTTAGATATCGAAATACTAATTTATCTAATCAATGTTGACAAGTACATATATCCAATAGACGTATGTTTATTAATAAGAAATAAATCTTTTGTTTATTCGAATATATCAGTATAAGTGTATTGATCATAGACTATAAATTATATGACGATATATAGAGTATGTATATAGTTTGTATGTATATATATTATCATTAATAAAAGTGCATAGTTGATAATAAGAAAATATAATTGAATTATATCAATGATTTTTATCGAGAACGAAAAGGAAATTTAAATATTGAAGTACTATTTATTGTGAAATTATTTGATATGATTGTTGTTGTTGTTGTTGTTGTTGTCGTTGTTGTTTTGAATGATGTACTCATTCGAGATATCTGATAGAATAAATTATTTTTGCCTGTTCTAGTACGTACAAGTTCATCAATTTTTGGTGCCATTTTTAATGTAAGTGTAACAATTCCAGCACATAAAAGAATTATTAGAAGTCCAACAATACTTATAATACGTGTAATAATACGTTTTTTTCTATCAGCTGCTGCTACTAAACGTTGTTGTTTAAGTTCAAATATACTTGCTGCTGTTCGATTATTTAATGAACTAGGTGTTGATGGAGATTTTGGTATATTAATATTAGGTTTTTTTAAATTATTTTGTTGATGATATTGTGATTTTATTTGAATTTGTTGAAAAAAAGCAATACGTTCTTGAAAATCATCATTACTTTTTTCAATTAATGATCTTGATGGTGAATGGGATCGTTCAGGAATACTTGATTTATTAATGATTGACATTAAAATAAAAATCAATACATTTGTATAATTAATTGATATGATCGATATAGTAAAAAATTTGAAGAAAACCTAAACAAAAAAAAAAAAAAAACGAATACTTTTATAAGAAAAAAAGTCATACTAAATAGAGAATTTAAGTTTCTTGTACGAACAATTGTGGCATTACTCTAATCGACTTTTCTATTAAATGCAAATCTAACTCAGCGAAAAAAAAAAAGAAATAGATGAATACTTACAAAATAGAAGATAATCTGATATTGATTGAATATAGTGACAAGAGAAACTGACAATTGAATAAAGTGAACTACGATGACAAAAATACATATTCATTCCATTAGAGCCTCGAACCATAGAGACAAACGGCAAATTAGAAAATGTAGCAATTATATTTCGAATAGAACGATTTATAATAACATTTGAGACTAGATGATGATATTAACTGTTATTTGTATTTTCAATAATCATTATTCGGTAAATCATTGTTTTTTTTTTTATAAACATAGTTTATGTACTAATAAAACGAGATATAGTTGTTGTCAAAAGAAAAAAAAAAATAAGAACATAGAAAAGAAAATGATATCAATACGAAATTGTTCAAACTTCCTGAAATTGCTTTACTAACAGCCAATCACAACAAATCGCCATACGTTCGTATCATTTCACGGGAAAACAAGAGAAAAAAAAATATGCGAAGATATTTTTCTTCTTTTCTATTCTTTTGCATTCAGAAGCCTTTCTTTTCTTTTTTTAATTTAGTTTCTTATAGATGAAGAAGAACGAAATCCCTATGTATTCTCTCTTTCTCTCTTTTTTTTTCTCTAAATGATCATATGTCATTCCTATATTGATATTAGTCTTTTATTTCCTTGTTTATATTTGCAGAAAAAAAATGAGTATGAGTAAGTGTAAAGTAATAATGACAAAAGCAAATTGAAAAGCATTTGCGCGTGAGCACTCATATATGAAATAAACCATGATGACGCACGAACAACAAATATATAAATAGAGAGAGAGAGAGATCGATGGTTATTAGTTTTATGAATGATGAACTATTATCAACAAACTAGTAGAAAAAAAAAAAGAGACTAGAGACTTATACGAGAAAATAAAAATTCTTTTGAAATTAGCTCAATAAAATAAATTTCTCAAAAACAAAACAAAATTTATAATGTCGATTTCCCCAGGTACTATTCAGTGTTATAATGAAACATTTTTATTCGGTAACAGTTGGTAAAACTAATGAAGAAAATAACATGACGTTGATTAAAATGCATATAGACATGCAAAGATGTTTTCAATGAAAAGACAAGTAAAAGAAAAAAGTATGTTTGATCATTGATGAGGTAGTATATTTGTAGATATTCATTAGAGATCTATGTTTTTATATAGAAAAATAGTGAATTATGTATCATTCTGTTTTCGATTGTACTATATCTAATACATAATGAAAAAAAAAAGAAAAGTTCTTACTTGATCTTTTTTTATGCGTTGTTTTTTTTTTCCACTAAGCATGTACCATAGAATATACAAAAAGAACAAATAATCACCAAAATATTCTCTAATTTTTGTAATTATATCAATGAAATTTGAGTACTTCCGTATATCAAGCTGATCAAAGACTGTATAAGTACAATTAATAACTATTGTTGTTATTGTTGAAGTACCACTGACTTATAACCTTGAGTGTCGTGAGATTTGAGAGATAGACTAACAAACTATATTGATCTTACAAAAATAATACTGATGAAGATAAAGTAGAATCATAGTAGTATGATAATAATCATAATAAGAGAAACAAAAAAAAAAAAAAAGACTGAAAGACAAGAGATTAAGATAATTGATTATTTGTATAAATAAAGAAAAGAAACATCAAACATAATATTTTTTTTTTACCTTCATTTTCATTAGTTTTCTTATCAAGTGAATCTTTCGTGACATGAGCATCTATAGTATGATTCCCTATGTGCGTGTTTATTCTATTAATATAGTAAATATTTTTCTTCATATGAGATTAATATTAAATCATATTGTTTAATAAATAGCAATTAAATAAAGACCAAATAATTATTATTATTCTTTATTAATGATCACAATGGGAAGAAAAAAAAAGAGTATAAGACAAAATAAATATCTTGAGTAAAAGTATATTTTTGAACATCGATTAATTTTATTGGAAAAAATAAAATAAAATAATATGACAGAAAATGAATTAATTATTTATAACATAGAAAGAAAAAAAATTCAAATCAGAATTTCAATTAGTCAATATTTGATTAAGAATAACTATGTATATTATTTCTTTTTTATTGTTAAGTGCACTCACACTATCTCGTAGAAATAATAATATTCATATTGTATATTAATAATGCTATTGAGACGACATTATTCGACTTAATGATCTTTTTTTTTTCAACTACTGATAATAAATCTAAATTATATTCTTTTTTCTTTTTTTTTATCTATCTTTCAAATCTAACATATTGTTTTCTTCAAAGTTATTTGTAGCTTGACATGCGTAGTATTAGATCATATATTAAATTAAGAGTTTATCTAAATTAATTTTCATATATCAATTACGATGAAATATGTTTTTGATACTATTTTGAATTTTGTATAGATATTGTTTTATATGTTATCATATTTTTTTAGCATTCATCATTTATTCATATTAAATAAAATAACTTTCTTGATTCTATTTATTCAATGATCATTACGAAGTTATATTTATATAAGAAAAAAATAGCTTTATTACTACTGAGAAAAACTTTAGTATTTTTCTGAAACGAGCTTTGCTCGTTTATTATCATTATTTAATGATGAATCTATCGAAATATTTGTATCCGATGATGCAATTGAACGCTTGTTTTGTAATGATTCAAATTCTCCATCATTTGTTTCCTAAAAAAAAAACGAATCGATATTTATTATTATTATTATTTATAAGCAAAAAAATCAATCAATTAATACCGATAATGGCTTTTCAATAGCTTGTATTAATAATCGATGAATATCTTCTAGATTTTTTTCAACTAATTCTGGAACTAGTTTACAACTTGCTCGAATTCCTTGAATATCTCTTTAAAAGAAAGAAAACAAAAAAAAAATACAACATAATAATTATGAAAATTGAAACCGATTAAAGAAAGTATTTTACTTAGGTAATAATTCAGCTATATGTATAAGCATTAAATCTGGTAAAACATAACTTGAAGAAAAAGATATAATTTTTGATTCAATTAAGAATATATTTTTTTTTTTATTTTACATACCTTGTTGATTCATCTTCTTCTCGAGCTATTTTATCACGCCAAGCATAGAGTAATTTAAGTGCAGTTAATTGACTACCATCGAAAGTTGTTTTATGACATTTTAAATATAGAGTTTTATATGCATTTTCATCGAAAATTGGCTTTTTGTATAACTAAGAACAAAAACAACAAATAATTTCATTATTTATAACAATTAATCTATAATAGTGCAACCGGATGCGAGATAAAATGAAGCTATTTCTCTCTCCGTCTAGAAAGTTTTGAACTCTCCTATCGTACGATTTGTTTTCATTAATAGTACATTATTTTGGAAGTATAAGACCTCAGTGTGATTCTCTTTTTGTTTTAGAAGATTGAATAGTTGAGAGAAAAGAAAATCATTAGTTCTAAAATAATTCCCAAAGCTAATCTTATGTTTATTATTTGATATTAATGTTAAATATGTACTCAAAATCAAATTTTATTTCTATTATCAATAATAAAAAAAAAAAGTAAATTTGATTATTTTCTTGATGATTTCAAATTATAGAAATCTAATTATTTGTGAAGTTAAGTTTGTCATGAATATTTGTTTTTCTACTAGACTTTCATAAACAAAAAAAAAAAAAGAATTTTAAATTAATTTGAATTGACATTTTACAATTATTTGTCATTATTGATTTCATTAGAGAAATCTAATAAATCAATAACTGACAAAACAATAATAATAATATTTACAATCATTATATTTTTTTTTTACTTTTTGACAAATTATTTTTGATTTTGTATAAACTAATCGAAGAAGTTGTGAATTATTTTCATTTAAATCAAGTAATTGATTTCGTAAACGATCATATATATATAAAAGATAATGTGTATCTTCTCGAGCATAACGACAATATTCTTTTGGTAAAGGTCTAAAAATAAATTTATTTATTTATTTTTTTTTAATTGAAAATAATTATTTTTCTAACCGTATTCTCCAATCAGCTAATTGAAATTGTTTACTAGCATCAATATTACAATAAGTTTTTAAAAGATAAGCAAGTGATAATGTTGGTAAATTAAGTTCTTTTGCTGCTCGATATGTATCAAACATATTTACAATATAAATACCAAAATCTTTTTGTAACCATTCTATATCCCAATCAGCACCATGAAATACCTTTTGAATTTAATAATTAAATTTATTTATTTAAATAAAAAAATTACTTTCAAAACTTTTGGATTAGTAAAAACATTATTTAGAATAGATAATTCATCTCGTAATGTAAGTGTATCAATTAGAAAATCTTCTGTACGTGATGATATTTGCATTAAACATGTAAAACCTTGATAGGATCGATAGGAATGATGCTAGAATAAGAAATAGATGTTTAGAAATAATAATAAAAAAAAAACATAAGAAAGTATACTTCTAAATCAACTGCTAATTCTAATTGCATTTCAATATGATCCATCATTATTTTTAATTTTTCAACTGTATCAACAAATAAATATTTTGTTTCTTCAATTGATTTTGGATACTAAAAGAAATTTAATTCTACTAATATATTAAACAATATTTACACTTACTTGAGGTTCGATTTTCTTTAGTAATATTTCATCAGGTTCAAAAGCTGTAATTTCATCAAAATACGGATGATCTAATCTGAGATAATAAAAAAAAAAGAACAATAGATTTCAATCTAGTTTTTTTTTTTTTTTTGAAAATAGAATACTAACATTTCTGGATGTTTTTCTAATAAATTA